AAAGATAAACTCATATTATTATATGTCACATGTGTGTGTAAAAATTATATACCGTAGAAAGATAAACTTATATTATTATATAGCACATGTGTGGAAAAATATATACCTTAGAAAAAAACTCACATTATTATGGAGATGCTATTCAGCGCTATGAGCGTGCTCTGTCCTTGTTACTTGTAAAAGTTGAACAAGGACAGAGTACGCTCATAGCGCTAAATAGTGTCATCCCGAACGCAGCCTATATATCATATGTAAAAAAAAAGAAGTGACTCCCGAAATCGTTCCGCGGATTCAAGATGTATAGTTTTGGTCCGTTTTGTTTTCCTTGTCTTCCATTTTTATGCTAAAAATTAGAAAGACAATTTTCAAACAAACATCTAATCCAAAACTGTAGTTTTAAACTAATACAATATAAAAACCTTTATTAATCAACCAATTGGATAATTATCGCTGGCGACAATAAGTACTATTTATTTGTTAAATTACTACGTAGTAGGGAAAATCATAATTTTTAAAATGTCTTAATTTGGAAATAAAGACTACGTAAGTATGTAAAGAGTATCATAAATTAGTTGCATGTTATAAGAGAAGATAATAAAAGACAGCATATATTATCATGGAATGATTACTAATATATAGTTACACAAATAGATTAAATTTTAGTTTGTATTTGCACAATTATGATTCACCACTCACCCACGCTACCCTGAATATTTATATCGATAATCATATAACTTACGTTTTCCGTTTCAGTCGTAAAGTCGCACCTGCCAGCCAAGTACTGATCTGCTTTTTAATGCCTTCATTAGTAGCATTTGGTGAAAATAGATGTGCAGCTTCTATAATAGTCACGAATTTTTATCAATGCAATTGAAATTTATTTTTAGAAAAACTCAAGTTTAACAGATTACTTACTAAATACACATTCCTTAAGTAGAAGATCTTTAAATGGTTTTTTTTTCTTTCTCCTTGTCCTTTATAACTATATTTGACAGCTACTTCATCCACAAAAAGATCTTGCATTATATGATTTATAAATACTTCCAATTTTTTGCCACCACGTTTTAATAACGTTTGTGCCTGAAAACATTGCTTGTATATGACATTGATCGCAGACGAAAAATAAAATTGCTTTTTACGAAACTTACTACTTGAGGTACAGTAATCGTTTTATTCTTTAACAGTTTTTCAAATTCTTCTACAGCGTTTGTATCCTTTAATGGAAAATAATTATATAAAATAATTATATAAAGATCCTTTGGATTCTTTATAAATTTCTTCCGTTGAATTTTCATCAATTCCTGATTTATCATTGCACTTAGTCTGGGTATTAATGTTCTCAAATATTATCCTGTTCAATTTGCTAATTATTAATGCGTTTGTTTCTAAAACAAGAAAAAATATATATTTTATTATACACGATCATTTGTACACAATTCAACACAATTATCTCTCCAACAAACGACCAATGGTTTCCTGTTGATTTTTTACTGCTGAATACGAATGTAACAGCCAAAATACTCTATCACGTTAGGATTTTAAGAGAATGAAGATTAAAGTTGTCAAACTCACAATTTTAACGAATTTCATCACGCTGTACAGGTTAAAATTATTTTCTTTCTCAGATTTTATTTAAATTATCTTACAGCCCATACGGCACCGAGAGATTGCAGAAACATTGCATAGACCTTACATTGTAACATTGTAATATTGCATGGAAGTTGCGAAATATGTTACTGCTAGCCTGCGGCAACGTTAAAATATCCGCCCTCAGAAACATTACACACACAATGACAAATTACAGCAATATTGCAATGTAACGTATTTAAAAGACATGAAATACATACGATTTTGCCGGTGCGTCGCAAATTATTCCATGAATTCGTACCTTATAATGTTTTTTATTATATAAAATGCCATTATTAATTAAATTTATTGCTTCATTCACGAACTGTTCAAGAAATTCATTAGAATCGTCTGGCTTTCCATCGCTATAATAAATTCCAATAATCTGTACGATTCTTAAAATTGTGTCACAACACATGATTGGCCACAAATTTTTTGTAGACGAATGACCAATCGGTGCTCCGTCAGTACATACTAATAACCGAATTTCATCTTTATCGCACCTTCCATCACATTGTTTCGTTAAAATTCGCTCAACTGCATTTCTCAATCCTAAATGACAGTACTGGCCATTTCCCATACTTAATATATTTGTACATTTTGGAGTTTTCAAAAATGTGCGCGCATCTTTTGGAAAGTCGACACAAGTATATTTGCGTAAGATTAATTGTAAAGCAGAAAAGGCATTTAAATGAATTTTAAATGCTATCGCCCATTCCCGAAGATCCAATTTGAATTTTAAATTATTGTCATTCTGATTACTCTGATTACAATCAAGAGATTCTTCTAGATTTTGACTTTCGTAAAGTAAATTGTTCGATTCATTAACGTCGTATAACAATTTACTTTCGTCAAGATTGGTTGATTCCGCATGTTCAATTTCTGAATCAGAAAATTCACTATCGCTAAAAGAATAACTACAATCATCTGCAATATCTTTTTCGCTTAGTTGTACTTTGATACAGCTTTTATCGAGTGCGATTGAGTAATTATTTGTATTAATACCGCGCGAGGTAGAAGGCAACGGTAATGGAATCTGCGTAAATGAACCGTCTTGTAATACGAAATTTTCATCAGCAGTATTAGAATATGAGTTACTACAAGACTGTAGAGAATCAGCATCACGATGACTATTAAATTTAATTTTTTTTCTTTTCTGAATTTTAAGTAATTCCGACAAGGTGCGATTACGTGCTAAACGGCGATAGTGTCTACATGTGTATGATTTCCGTTTATTGCCAGCTTCAGACATTTTTAACTATAAAAAAGAAGAAAAAAATAACATTAAAATAAATAATCACATCATCA